GTTATGTTGTCGGTCAATATTAGTATGTGATGATTGAGTACCTGTGGAAGGAAGCTGCGGAGAGCCAGGTGTACTGCTTGAAGCTCCAGCCAGTTTATGCTGCACGATTGTTGTATGGCGGACCAGCGGTCTTGGGTTGTGAGCGATTGAACGTGAGCCCCCCATCCAAACAGGCTGGCATCGGTGGTGATGATAAGTCTGTATGGCTCTTTGAAGAGGCAGCCTCTGTTGATGACTGGTCTGGTCCACCAGAGGAGAGATATGAGGACCTTTGATGGTACCTTGACCTTGTATTTGGAGTTGCTTCAGCCGGAGCGCTGGTACGGGAGCAGGAACCACTGGAGGGATCTAGTGTGGAGCCGGACCCAAGGGATGATAGATATACATGAGATCATCTTGCCCAACAATTTTGATAGTTCAGCTCTTAAGACCCCTGATCTCCTTAACTAATTGCTGAATGCTATTTAGTCTATCTGGTGACAGGTAAACTTTGCCTTCCACCGTATCTATGACTGCCCCCAGATGGATTAACCGAGTCGATGGTATTAAATAACTCTTTTTCTAATTTATTGAGAACCCGTGTTGTTGTAGGGATTGTAATGTGTTCTGATTATCTCTGACTGATTGATGATTGGAAGATGACAAAATTAAGATGTCATCAAGGTAACACTGGAGTCGTACCACAGAGATGAGCAGCTAGAGTTGCGAGAACTTTTGTGAAGGTCCTGGGGGCAGAAGCTAGTCCGAAAGGAGGGGCCACATATTCAAAATGGTGGTTATTATAACAGAATCTCAGAAATTTATAGTGGGAAGGCCAAATAGCAATATGTAGGAACGCCTCCGTCAGATCTATAGACGGAAGGACGTCACCTTTTCTGATGCCAAGTAAGATAGATTGCAGGGTGTGCATTTTAAACTTGCGATAAACTAAGAAACGGTTGAGATGTTTCAGATCTAATATTGCTCTCCACCCCCCACCCCCCCGAACTTTTGGGAACAACAAAATGTGAATAGAAACAACAAAATGTGAATAGAAACCTCGTCCTCGTTGGTTGGTGGCTACTGATTGGATGGCTCGTATGTCCAGTAGATGTTGGATAGCTGTTTCCATGAGATTACGTTTAACCGGATCTCTGGAGAGAGAGCATGACATGAAAAAATCTGGGGGAGTGGATTGAAACTCTAGCGCAAGGCTAAATCTGATCATGTCTGACCCAGGAATCAGACGTTGAGGAGTCCCATTGGTCCGTGAATAATTTAAGGCATCCGCCAATGGGAGTCAGGTCCAGGGAGTTATCTTGGACGCCGAAAAGACCTGTTTCCTGCTCTTCAAAAGGATCTCTTGGATTGACCACCCCTTCTGCTCCCGAAGTCGGACCTGTCTGGCTGCTGCCCTGGTCTGAATGATGGGGGTCTCTGGTATCTGGGTGAAAAGGGTCCCTGGTAAAAGGGCCGAAAGGATCCCCTCCAAAAGGACTGAGGGTTTCTAGAATCTGACTTCTGAAAAAGGGAAGGTAGAATTTTCTTTTTGTTTTGGGTTTCAATTAGTAGTGGATCAAGGGAAGGGCCAAATAGTCTGTCTCCCACAATAGGAGATGAAGCCAGCTTGCATTTGTGCTTAAAGTCTGCTTGCCAATGTTTTAACCATAGTAAGCGTCGCACTTTGACATGTGAAGAAATGGCCCTGGCTGAAAACTTGACAGCATGATAAGTTGCGGCTTCTATAAGTTTAGCAATATCTTGGTGCGCTCTAATGTTGGAATTAGGGACATGTTCCCGTAAGAGGCAGAGCCATCTGAGAGAAGAACGGGAAAAGAAGGAGGCGGTCGTGGCTGCTCTGATGGCCCACACGTCAGACTGATGGGCCCTGCGTAGGGCTAGCTCGGCCCGTTTTTCCTCCGGCTTTAATGCCTCCAGCGCTTCACTGGGAATGGAGGAGGACGCTAATCCCACTATAGGTTTGTCTACCTCAGGAGTATTCAACAATTTTGAGAAATCAGGAGCCAAATTGAAATATTTCCTGTCATATCCAGTGGGGGCCGGGTACGCCGCTGCAGACGCCCACTGTTTCTGTACCAGGTCCGAAAACATGTGAGGAACTGGGATCACATCTGTCTCGACTACTGGTTGATTGAAAATTAGATCTTCTGGTCCCTCTTCTGAAGGAGTTGGAGTGGTAGAAGGGGTCGACTTGTTCAGGCGCGCAATGTTTTTTGCTTTAAACAAGAGAGATCTGAAAAGCTGTGGGCGGAATAAGCCTGTAAATACAGGTTGATCGGGAACAAGGCCCTCATCCTCAGACATCCCCCTTTCTAAGGGGTCCACTTCCAACATGGGCTCGCTGTCATATATTGATCCCAATTCAATCTGTTCCATTTGATCAATTTGATCCACTTCTTCCTCCTCCTCTTCCTCCTCCTCCTCCTTCTCAGTCAGCCCTTGGAGGGGCGCTTCCCCTTGTAAATGTACCTGGGTATAGTGTTGCTCCGACCTGGTCAATGACCTCAGCAATTGGGAATCATAATCAGCAGTTACAGGATGTTCCCTGGTCAGAACTGCGTGTTGAAGACCTGCTGCGATTCCCTGGCAGATTGCCAGCTCCATCCAGGCCTTCATCCTCTCTGGAACCTCCTCTGGAAGAATGTTGTCCTGTCCAAGACCGGCAGCCGTTGGAGTGAATGTAGCTTCGGGAGCCCTTCGCGTGGTCGGTGTTCCAGGTAACTGGACCTGTTGGCTTTGGGGAGCCAAGCTGCGCCTGGATGAGAGGGAGAGATCTACGGGAGGAAGAGGGTGGGAAGAGGTAGACGGACCTGGACTGGAGGAGGGAAAGTCCTGTGAGGCCCTGGGTGCACTTATCTGCTTTTCTAATGCTTTATGGCGCCTGTTGGCATCCCTTTCTGAAGCTTTAGAATTCCCTTTAGCCTGCTTGGGTTTGTGCTGAGATTTGGCTTTGACCTTCAAGGATGAGGTCTGAGGGCTGCTACCGCCTGCCATTTCGATTGAAGGAATTACAGTATGCTTGTTATTTAATGAAATACTGTGAAGGCGGTTGACACGCCCAGGGACCTGATCTAAGAACAGACCGGTCGCCCTGATGATTTTTTTTATTCCCCCCCCTTTTCTCTTTTTTTTTAATACCTATGTATAATGAGTCGTATCTCAGTAATAATATTTTATTGATATTAAAATAATTCACTAATATATATAGCTATATGTATATGAATAACAATTAAATAGCCCGAGGCTAAAATGTTGAAAAACCAAACAGCCAAACTGAGAACGCATAAAGGCCCAAGTTGATAAAGGTAGAGGCCTTCAACAGCTTCCCTGCACAGGCAGACACAGGCCTTGGTGCTCGCTGTTGTGCCGCTGGGTTGATTGGGCTGTGAGGGTTAAGCCAACAATTTAAATGTAGGAATAGCCTCGAATGTAGTAAAAACAAGACAAGGGTATAATGATCCCAAGTGTTCTTAAAGAGAAACCTCTGCTTCGGAAAGAAAGTACCTCACACAGCACGAAATTAAATACAGTCAGAGTGGTCACGAGGTTTTTGTAAGAAAAAATGGCCTCTGGCGCACTCCCCAGCAGCAAACTCCCGCTGTGTGAAGGAGTAGCCTCTGAGGGTTCTTCCTATAAGGCTAAACAGCGGGGAAGGGTGGAAGGAACTAAGCGTTTAAATCTTCCACCCCCGAGATAGCGTTCAGAGGGGGGAAGGAAAGCGATACGACTTCGTTGTGAGCAAAGAGTTCACGCTGCTGTTCAGATGAAAGAAACTCTGCGGCTATCTGTCAGGGATAGAAAAAGCGGTTGTGGGGAGGGGGCGCGGAGCAGCGCCGAAGCTTCCCTCCGCTTTGGGGCGCAAAATAGCATTTCCCTGTAATGCAAGCGATCTCCAACTGCCTGATGTTAAAGAGCCAACGTCGAGAGATCGTAATGCGATTAGGAGGCTAAAGAGTCCTAAAGACAAGCTGATCAATTTTCAGACCTGCGAGTAAAGAAACAAATTTTCCTGTTTCGGCCAAGGAAGAATCACAAGCACTGCCCATCCCTCACGAGTCTGAGCCAAAACCGGGGAACGCTGGAGTCCTGTGGAGGAGGAGGAGTGTTCCAGAAATTAAGCCCAGCCTAGACGTGCAGAGACTGAAGCACCTCCCCCACTACTGGATGCTCTGAACAGCTCATAGGAGAATTGTATCTTTCTTCCAGTGCTGGGCAAAATTTATTCTCACATCTGCAAACAAATATCTCATTAAATCATGATATTTCTAGTTGAAGTTTTGTTAAATTGTTGATGCTTACTTAGATACCTAGTAAGAAAATTTGTGGTTTGATTTCAATTTTAATCTCTAAAACTTTTCAACGTTGTACTATATATATCTTTTCAGTAGTTTGACTTTTTTTACATATCCCACATGTGGTAAAATGTTTCATGGCATTTCTAATATTTATTACTGTATATTTATTTATATTGAAAATTATGTATATAATTGTAAAACATTTTGTACTGATTTTCTTTCAAGTTGTACCCTGGAGTATAATTTTAAAGTTTTGTTTCTTGTCTTGAATACCCATTGGAGAAAAAAGATTAATATTGGTCAGATCAATCAAATTCAGTAGAAAGATGCGGTAAAGTGGTGCACCTCCTTGTGGTACAACCTGGGCAATATGAGTTTGTCACATCAAAATAGTCTACATATTCTGACTGCTGGACCTCACAAAGATCTCCCAGCAAGAAGAAACACCACAAATATAAAAATGATGGCTCTTTTCAGATGCATTAATGTTGCATTCTGTTGTGCCATATGAAATAAATAAAAGTAAAAAGACAGAAAAATGGAGATATAATTCAGAAGCTTCTATCTACTTAAACCTATTTAACTTTTGATCTTTAAAATATAGAAAATAAATACACAAAAAATAGAAAAAATTATACAAATCCTACGTGAAGAGTTTAAACTATGTTTAATTCATCAAACAATCATAGAAAAATAAGCATTTACCTAATTCGAAAATGAAGGAATTTTGGGTCAATGCTAAAGGACATGGGACACATACTGTTAATTTTGTAAGTGTTGGTAGTCTGCTTTCAACTTCAATCTGTTGAATCAAAATATTTAAAAGATATTTATAGACAATAATAAAATATTACTTAAATAAATTATAATTATAAAACTTATAAAATTATAATTATAAAACTAATATTTAGCACTTCAAAAATATTATTTCATCACTTCAGTAAATCAGTAGTTAGTACTTCTTCGGGGATTAACATACAAGCAATGTTCACACACACATGCAGAGAGAGAGAGAGTGATAACAGAGACATTGAGAGTGGGTGGGAGGAGAGAGATGCACATACATAAAAAAAAATTAACTTGTCATCCTTATGGGTAGCCTGTATCTTCCCCGATCTCTAGTTGTCTACTGGAAGCTTGGGGTTTCTGTGCAATACACTCTTCTGGACAGAGAGCACTGATGTTACTCCTGGAATCTTTTGGAGCCATTCTCCCAGATTAGATGTCATAGTCCTGAGTGCTCCTACCACCACTGTAACCAATTTCGGGTTTTTTACATCTTCTCCAGTTTCTCTTTCAGATTGTGGTACTTCTCCACTTTCTCGTAATCTTGCTTCCTGAAGTTGCTGTCATTTGGCATCATTACATCTATCATTTAATTTCTCTTCCCATTCCATATGTATGTTTATGTGTATGTGTACACACAGAGACAAAGAGAGAGAGATGTATGGGGGGGGTATGTACACATGCACATATGCATATATATGTACAAACATATCATGCATTCACATTTTTCTCAATCTATACTTAATACCCCATAATAACAAAGTGAAAACAGAATTTTAGAAATGTAAATTTATTAAAAGGAAAAGCTGAAATATCACATTAACATAAGTTTTCAGACCCTTTGCAACAAAACTTGAAAGTGTTCAGGTGCCTCCCATTTCTCTTTATCATTGCTGACATGCTTCTACACCTTGATTGGCAAATTAAATTGATTGGACATAATTGAGAAAGGCACACACCTTTCTATAGAAGGCCTCATAGCTGACAATGCATATTGTAACAGAGCAAAAGCCAGGAGGTCAAAGGAATTGCCTGCAGAACTCAGAGGCAGGATTATTACAAGGTACAGACCTGGGAAAGGCTACAATATAACATTTCTGCTGCACTGAAGGTTCCTAAGAGTATAGTGGCCTCCATAATTCTCAAATGGAAGAAGCTTGGCACAACCAGGACTCTTCCAAGAGCTGGTCATTCAGTCAAACTGGGCAATTGGGGAAGAAGGGCCTTAGCAAGAGAGGTGATCAAGAACCCAATGGTCAACCTAACTAAGCTCCAGAGAACCTGTGTGGAGATGGGACAGAGTTCCAGAAGGAAAACCATCACTATAGCCCTCCATCGATCTGGCCTTTATGGCAGAGTGCTTAGATGGAAGCCTCCCCTCAGTTCAAAACACATGAAAGCTTACTTGGAGTTTTCAAAAAAGCAGCCAAAGGAGACTCATAAGATTCTCTGATCTGATGAAGCCAACACTGAACTGCTTGGCTCAATTCTAAATGATATTTCTGGAAGAAACCAAGCACTGCTCATCACCTGCCCAATATCATGCCAGCAATGAAGCATGGTGGTAGCAGCATCATGCTGTGGAGGTGTTTTTCAGCAGCAGGGACTGTGAAACTGGTCAGGGTTGAAGGAAAGCTGAATGGAGCAAAGTACAGGGATATCAATTAAAACCTTTTCCACAGCATTCAGGACCTCAGACTGGAATGAAGGTTCACTTTCCAACATAACAACAATCCTAAACACATAACCAAGACAACAAAGGAGTGGCTTAGGAACAACTCTATGAATGTCCTAGAGTGGCCCAGCAACAGCCCTGACTTGAACCCAATTGAACATCTCTGAAGGGACCTGAAAATGGCTGTCCATCAATGATCACCATCTAACCTGATTGAGCTTGAAACGATTTGCAAGAAAAAATGGAGAAAAATCTCCCAATCTAGGTGTACAAAACTTATTGAGTCATACCCCAAAAGACTTGAGGCTGTAATTGCTACCAAAGGTGCTTCAATAAACTACCCAGTGAAGGGCCTGAATGCTTATACCAGTGTGATATTTCTGTTTCTTTCTTTTTAATAAATTTACAGACTTTTCTAAAATTCTGTTTTCACTTTGACATTATGGGGCACTACGTGTAGATTAATGGGAAATAACATACAAGCACATAGTCATGTATATATTTCAGCATAGGTTTATATTCTATCTACTGTTATTTATTCAAATCCAGGATTTTGAAATTAGAATTCTCCTGTTCTTTTTCACCTCGACTCCCAGTACACTTCTTCTTAACCAAGTCAGTCAGTAAGTCAAAGCAGGAAAAGTTTCAAAGTTTAGAACACTATTGGACAAAAATACTAAGCTTATTTCTTAAAAATTCTCATCATTATAAATTTCCTTTCTCACTATTTTGGGCCCAAATCCACACCACTATATAGTGAATACAGGCAGTCCTTGACTTATCACCATTTGGGTAATGACAGAACAGATTAATAACAATCTTGAGAAGTTGCTTTACAGCCCTTAAATCGTATTTGGTCTCCGCAAAACATTGTATGACTAGCACCATAGTCATGTGATTATAATCTGGGTGCTTGGCAACCTGATCTAATGACTAGTTGCCAAACATCCCACAATTACATGATCACTATTTCCACTCTTTGCTGGCTTTCCCTGAATGTCAATAGGGAAGACTGCAAGGAAGATTGCAAACTGCTGCTGCCTGCCTGAAGGATTCCCTCTCAGCAATGGGATTGGCTGAAAGAGACAACTTCCAAGGACAGCTGAACTCCTACAATAGGATGCAGAAATGAAATTGAAATCCTGAATATTTTAGCTCCATTTCCTCATCCTGTCAAAGGAAGTTTCTTGGAAGACAGCCAATCTTCTATAGCAGGATGCAAGAGCAGAAAGGAATACCTTCTTGCCTCCAGTGAAGATGTTTGTTCACTGGATCCATAGAAGGCAGCAGAAATGTTTTGGCAGGTATCTCCTTCATCCAAGCAGAGAAAAGAGAAGCAGAATGGTATGGAAAGAGCATGGGGAGTGTCGGAGATACAGATGAAACTCGAAAAGTTAGAATATCGTGCAAAAGTTCATTTATTTCAGTAATGCAACTTAAAAGGTGAAACTAATATATGAGATAGACTCATTACATGCAAAGCAAGATAGTTCAAGCCATGATTTGTCATAATTGAGATGATTATGGCTTACAGCTCATGAAAACCCCAAATCCACAATCTCAGAAAATTAGAATATTACATGCAATCAATAAAACAAGGATTGTACATAGAGCAATATCGGACCTCTGAAAAGTATAAGCATGCATATGTACTCAGTACTTGGTTTGGGCCCCTTTTGCAGCAATTACTGCCTCAGTGTGGTGTGGCGTGGAAGCTAACAGCCTGTGGCACTGCTGAGGTATTATGGAAGACCAGGATGCTTCAATAGCGGCCTTCAGCTCTTCTGCATTGTTCAGTCTCATGTCTCTCATCTTTCCCTTGGCAATGCCCCATAGATTCGCTGGGGTTCAGGTCAGGTGAGTTTGCTGGCCAATCAAGCACAGTAATCCCACAGCCATTGAACCAGGTTTTGGTGCTTTTGGCAGTGTGGGCAGGTGCCAAGTCCTGCTGGAAAATGAAGTCAGCATCCCCATAAAGCTCATCTGCGGAAGGAAGCATGAAGTGCTCCAAAATCTCCTGGTAGATAGCTGCGTTGAACCTGGACTTAATGAAGCACAGTGGACCAACACCAGCAGATGACATGGCTCCCCAAATCAACACAGACTGTGGAAACTTCACACTGGACTTCAAATATTTTGCAGTGTGTGCCTCTCCACTCTTCCTCCAGACTCTGGGTCCTTGGTTTCCAAATGAGATGCAAAAGTTGCTCTCATCAGAAAAGAGGACCTTGGACCACTGAGCAATAGTCTAGTTCTGTTTTTCTTTAGCCCAGGTAAGACGCTTCTGACATTGTTAGTTGTTCAGGAGTGGCTTGACAAGAGGAATACAACATTTGAAGCCCATGTCCAGGATCCGTCTGTGTGTGGTAGCTCTTGATGCACTGACTCCAGCCTCAGTCCACTCCTTTTGAAAGTCCCCAACACTTTTGAATGGCCTTTTCCTGACAATCCTCTCCAGGCTGCGGTCATCCCTGCTGCTTGTGCACTCCCCCCCCCCACACTTTTCCCTTCCACATAACTTTCTATTAATGTGCTTTGATACAGCACTATGGGAACATCCAACTTCTTTTGAAATTACCTTTTTAGGCTTTCCCTCCTTATGGAGGGTGTCAATGATGGTTTTCTGCACAACTGTCAGGTCGGCAGTCTTTTCAATGATTGTGCTTCCTGCTGTACCAGACTGAGAGACCATTTAAAGGCTCAGGAACCCTTTACAGGTGTTATGGCTTAATTAGCTGATTAGAGTGGGACACTTTGAGTCTAGAATATTGAACCTTTTCACAATATTCTAATTTTCTGAGATTGTGGATTTATGGTTTTCATGAGCTGTAAGCCATAATCAACTCAATTATGACAAATCACGGCTTAAACTATCTTGCTTTGCATGTCATGAGTCTATCTCATATATTAGGTTCACCTTTTAAGTTGCCTTACTGAAATAAATGAACTTTTGCATGATATTCTAATTTTTCGAGTTTCACCTGTATGTGGGAAGCTCCAGGAGGTCCAGTGCAGGTCATATATGAGCTGAAAATCCTGCTTCAATTTTGATCGGAAAGTTTTTCAGCTGAGCAAAACTGAAGGTCTGCCACAAAACCCTGAGGCACCCTGAGCACCATACCTGGGACTTCATCTGCTTAATCATCTGCAATATCACTTAACAACCATAACCAGGAGTGGCAGAATTACAGTCATTAAGTAAAGCTATGATAAGGATGCCTTAATGACTGTTTCACTGAATGACCAAGATTCCAGTTCCAATTGTGGTCATAAGTTGAGGATTTTCTGTACAGGGTCAAAGAAAGTGAACACCAAACAGAAAGAGGTAATAGAAATTAAAAGCCCATAATCCCTTTTATCACTGCTAGTGTTTATTCTCTTTATCATTCCTAGCATATTCACAGGGCAGCAACAAGGAAAAACAAGAACACAATAAGGAACTTCTTATGGATCTAAGCCACTGCAGGTCCCTAACTATGACTCAAGAAAAGATGACATCTTTGTAAATAGAAATGCTCACTTAAGATAATTAACAATTCTATGTTAAAATTAAATTTACAAAATATTTGAATGGTACCATCATTGTTCTTACCTTACTTCTAAATCAGAGTTCCCCCACCTTTACAGCTTTGCAAACCGGTATGGAAAGACAAGGGGATGGTTCTGTGTGAGTGGTGGGCAAGCATAGGTGCACACATGCAGCTCCATTTGCAGAAGCATCAGGCACACATGCCATTGCACAAATGGAGTGTGCATGCACAAGCGAGGATGCGTGCCCATGCTCACTTGCCACTTCCACAGCTAGGTTCTGAACAGCTCAAGGCCCAGTAGTAGTCACAGCCCAGGGGTTGGGGACTTCTGTTCTAAACAGTGTTTACATCTAATGTTTATTTTCCAAAATACAAAATAAAAGCAATTTAAATCACTCAAATATTTCTGTAAATTTTTAAATTAATCCTGTATACCAATCTTCAACTCTATGTTTATATTACATAATGTATGCAATGGATTAGATAACTTTATTAAATATGCTAATACCTTTATCGTCACAGAAGGAATCACCCCTGCTTTAATTTCACTGTCAACAGCTTGCTGTAAACAAAACATAATGAATTAGTCAGGAATGTTTATGATACAGGAAACATTATTCTATTAGATGACTATATTTAAAATAATGAAACAAGACAAGATTAAGTTAAATAAAACTGTTTAAAAATTAAAAAGAAAAATATACAAGCAGTGTATTCCTAGATTTGTCTCATAGCCAAGCCAAAAAAATGTAATTTACAGGCAATTAAATATTTCAAAATAGTACTTTATAAATTGTTTTTAAAAATCATATAAAAAGGTAAAATAATTAAAATATATAATTTTAGAACATATTTCAAATCTAATTTAATTATTTTAGCGTAAGAATTAGGAAGAAAGAGCCAGTGATTCATTTCAAACACCACTGTAGCCCTTATGAAAATGTATTTATGTTTTGAATAGACATCAGAATTGACTAATTATAATTCCACACATTATTTACCAGTAGACACTGTTGTTTTTATGATAAAGGATTCAATATATAAAGCCAAGTGCTTACTGAATAGAAAACAAAAATGAACTAGCATTTCTAGATCTGAGTTTTATCTTTTGCAAATTCTACACTGTGGTCAGCATAAACCATAGCTTTGCATAAAGTCTGAATTAGAGACAGCAAAAAGAACAACTTGTGGATGGGCAATGGATAGCTTTTGGTAAAAACTAGAATTTAGATAGGGCTTCTAAAATAGGGAGCAGCTTCCACTGAATTTAGATTTCAGATTAACAGAGTTGGAAGGGATCTTGTAGGTTATTTAGTCCGATCCCCCCGCCCAAACAGGAGACCCTAAACCATTTCTGACAGTCAGCAGTCCAGTCTCTTCTTGAAAGCTTCCAGTGATGAAGCTCCCACAACTTCTGAAGACAAGCTATTCCATTGGTTCATTGCTCTCACTATCAGAAAAGTTCTCCTTATTTCTAGGTTGAATATCTCCTTGTTGAGTTTCCATCCATTATTCCTTGTCTGGCCTACGGTTGCTTTAGAAAATAGCTTGATCCCTTCCTCTCTGTGGCAGCCCCTCAAATATTGGAACACTGCTATCATGTTTCCCCTGGTCCTTCTCTTCACCAGACTAGCCATGCCCAGTTAATGCAACCATTCATCGTATGTTTAGCCTCCAGCCCCTAATCGTCTTGGTTCTCTTCTCTGCACTCTTTCTAGAGTCTGAACATCTTTTTTATCATGTGGTGATCAAAACTGCAATACTCTAAGTGTGGTCTTACTAAGGCTTTATAGAGTGATATTAGTACCTCACTTGATCTTGATTGCATCCCTCTGTTAATACAGTTTAGGATTGCATTGACTTTTTTAGCTGCTGCTGCACACTATTGGCTCATGTTTAATTGATTGTCCACTAAGACTCCAAAATCCCCCTCAGAGTTACTACTATTAAGTATGGTTTCACCCTGTCTATATGTGTACTTTTGGTTTTTCTTGCCTCAGTATAAGACTTTACTTTTCTCTACATTGAATTTCATTTTGTTACATAGGGCCCAGTGTTCAAGTTTGTCAAGATCCATCTGGATCTTGAACCTATCATCTAGGGTGCTGGTTATTCCTGCCAGCTTAGTACCATCCGAAAATTTGGTAAGTTCCCCTTCTATACCCTCATCTAAGTTATTCATGAAGATATTGAAGAATACTGGGCGTAAGATGGAACCTTGTGTACCCCACTGCTTACTTCCCTCCATGTATATATAGTACCATTAAAGACTATTCATTGAGTACAGTTTGTCAGCCAGTTACAAATCCATCTGATGGTGATGCTATCTATCCCACGTTTTTTCTAGCTTTCTAAGAAGTACCATGTTTTTCCAACAATATGGCCTCCCCCAATAGGAAGTCCCAGCATGTTTTATAGGCATAAAATCAAATTAAGCCACCCCCCCCAAATTAAGGCCTTTATTAAACATGCGAAATGGGGGGGGCTTGCCATTAGGAAGTACTTCTGTTGCATACCCGGATATGGTGCTGCCTGCATTGACATCGGCGTTGGTGGGGCACTTCGTATTGGGAGACCTTCCGCCACCATTGCTTTCCCTTCTCCCCGTACTGCCACGGCGTTTAGAGCAACGCTGCAGCATTTGGTGCAGCCACGCGCAGCCAGCCATGGCTCCTCCCTGCAACCGGAACCCGGCGGAGACACTCGGCTTCAGGCGCTCCTGTCACCGCCTTCCCTTTGCCTTTGAAGGCAAAGCCAATTCTTTTAAAAATGATGCCCTATTACCGGTACGAGAAAGCCTCCTCTGCCCGAGAGGGCAGCCCAACCCCACGTGGGGGGGCGAATCTCCCAGGGCCGCAGTGCAGGATCGTCCCACCCCGGGAGAAGCAACCAGCCGCAATCCCTGCCTGGTGCCAGGCAGAGCGCGAAGAGCTTCGCCTGGGGCGCCCAGCACAGTTGACAGGCAGGCCCTCCTGTCCGGCGGCAGAACTCTCGCCAAGGCAGCGAGCGCCTCCCTGCCAGGCCCTCCGCTCATCCCGCCAGGGCCGTGCCAGAGCCGTGCAGGGAAAGCGAGCTGCGGGTGCGCACCCACCTGCCAAGCGAAAGAGCCGGGCCAACCCGAGCTTGGCTTCCTTCCCAAGTCCCTCCAGCCTGAACCTGAAGGGGCCACCGGACAAGGCTGCCCGAGGCAGTGATAGCACCCACCTGTCCGCGGACAGGGAGGCGAGGTGACAGCAGCGCTGCTTCCCTGGCCAGCGGGTTCGGCAGAGAGAGCCCGAAGTCGCCCGTCCTTTCCACACCTCGTCCAGCCTGTCCCCACGCATCTCCAAATGCGCCGGCAGCTCCAAACGCTGCAGCGGCATGGGCATCAGGCAGAGGTGCTCACTCGGCGGGGCTCAGCTCGGAGGATGTGGCGCAGGCTGTCGCCTTGCCTCCCTGTCGACGGATGTTTGGGTGCTATCACTGCCTCAGGTGGCCTCTCCCGGTGGCCCCTTCGGGTTCAGGCTGGAGGGACTTGGGAAGGAAGCCAAGCTCGGGTCGGCCCGGCCCTTTCGCTTGGCAGGCGGGTGCGCACCCGCAGCTCACTTTCCTGGCTCTGCCCAGCCTGCACGGCTGTGGCACAGCCCTGGCGGGATGAGCGGAGGGCCTGGCAGGGAGCTGCCTTGGTGAGAGCTCCGCCGCCGGGCAGGAGGGCCCGTCTGTCAGCTGCGCTGGGTGCCCCAGGTGAAGCTCTTCAAGCTCTGCCTGGCGCCAGGCAGGGATGGTGGCTGGGCACTTCTCCCGGGGTGGGACGATCCTGCACTGCGGCCCTGGGAGATTCGCTCCCCCACGTGGGGTTGGGCTGCCCTCTCGGGCAGAGGAGGCTCTGTCGTACCGGTAGTAGAGTGTCGTTTTTATAAGAATTGGCTTTGCCTTTGAAGGTGAAGGGAAGGTGGTGACAGGAGCGCCTGAAGCCGAGTGTCTCCGCTGGGCTCCGGTTGCAGGGAGGAGCCCTGGCTGGCCGCGTGTGGCTGTGCCAAATGCTGCAGCGTTGCTCTAAATGCCACGGCAGCACAGGGAGAAGGGAAAGCAATGGTGGTGAAAGGTCTCCCGATACGAAGTGCCCCACCAATGCCAAGGTTAACATCCAAGCCGTCACCGCCTGCCCGAGGATGCAAGTGGGGGGGAATTAAGTCACCCCCGAAAAGACGGACTAGCCATTTTTTTCGGGGGTCAAAAAAAAATAAGGCCCAGCCTTATTTTGTGAGAAACACGGTAGGTTGTGGTCTAACTTGTCAAAAGCTTGCTGAAGTCTAAGTATATTATATCAACAATATTTTGCTGATCTACAAATTAAGTCACTGTGTTGAAGTATAAAATTAAACATAATTGTATGAATCATAATTAACAGTTTATTATTGGAAGTCATTTTCTTCTGGTGAGTGTATAACTGTAGTTGAAAAGTTACAGGCATAAGCAAACTAAGTCCTAGTCATTCTCCCACATGAGAGCATTTATTAACTTTATATCAGAACATTCTACTGTGATGCTTAAAAATTTGGGAACCCTTTTGAATTCTCAGTAATTCTGCACAAATATGACTTAAAACATGATCTTTTCTAGTTCTGATCCTAAAACTAAACTCAATTAAACAAATGAGTCAAAAGCATTATAACTTGTTCATTTTGGTTTTCTGGGCTATGGACTACATAACCTAAAAGAAGGACTCTTGGCAAGGTACCTCACAAATATAGGGGAAAATATACTCGGAAAAAGACTGGCCCAACTCATTAGAAGGGCTTTAATCTAAAATTGAAGGAGGAGGGTGACCAATCTTTAGAATTCCTAGAACACAAAACTAATCATAAATACCAAGAAAATAAATCAAACAATATGTTAGGGAGTGATGAGAAAAACGAAAAACTCAAACAACAATTAGGAAATGCAGGAACCATACCCATAGACAAGCATAAAATTCTTAAATGCTTATATACAAATGCTCAAACCTTGGGGAACAAACGGTGAACTAGAAGCAATAATACATGAGGGTAGGTTTGACATAGTTGCCATTACAGAAACCTGGTGGGATGAAACCCATGACTGGAATGCACTGATGTATGGATACAAATTGCTCAAAAGAAACAGATCAACACAAAGAGGAGTGCACTATAAGTGAGAGATCACTACATACAGTATTTCACAGGAGTACACCCCCTCACATTTTGTAAATATTTAAGTATATCTTTTCATGTGACAATACTGAAGAAATGACATTTGGCTACAATGTAAAGTAGTAAGTATACAGCTTGTATAACAGTGTAAATGTGCAGTCCCCTCAAAATAACGCAACAAACAGCCATGTCTAAACTACTAGCAACCAAAGTGAGTACACCCCTAAGTGATAATGTCTAAATGGGACCCAAACAGGGGTGGAATTCTACAGATTCGCACCTATTTGCTAGAACCGGTTGTTAACATTCTAAGCAGTTCGGAGAACCGGGTGTTAGAAGAAATTATTGGCCTAATCCTGTAAGGAAGGCAGGAAGGAAGCATTCTGGTGTTGCTTACAGAAACTGCCTCTCT